CCTTCCTTCCTTCCTTCCTTCCTTCCTTCCTTCCTTCCTTCCTTCCTTCCTTCCTTCCTTCCTTCCTTCCCCCCTCCCTCTCTCCCTTCCTTCATTTCCATGTATAATACAGGCTTGTGCCGTTTGCCCTCCCCTCATGACCCTCAGGATAGCCCCAGTGAAGCTGCCTCCTCCCCCTCCCCCTCCTCCTCAGCCTGCCACTTTGCTGGGGGGAGGTGGAACCAAGGGAGTCCCGTTTTGTGAGGAAAACTGCACCCCTACTCTACATTCCGGCGTATCCCCAAGGGCCCCCTCCCTTGAGGGAGAAAGATGGCTCATCCATCAACCACCGGTGCTCTCCAGCCAGCCTTCCTTGCCAGCAGGCATCCAAGTCACTCCCTTGTCCTTCCCTCAATGCCCACCATTAAGACATTTAAAATTTTGACTTCATTTCCAAAGCAGCCAATTGCCACTCGCCTGTCGGGCCTTGCTGCCTGCCAATTGGGTGCAGGGGACAGAGGGAGGGGGGAAAGAGGTCAGGGATATGTGCATGATGATCATGGGACCTGGGCTGACCATGGTGGCACAGGGGCGCAACAGACCTGAAGCGGCCACAAATTTCAATCCCATAGGACTAATGGGTCCTGGATTTTGGACACATTCTGTAAGTTGGCCCATTTGAGATACCTTGGTTCAAAGATGGTTACCCTATGACACACCATTTCGTCCAGTTGAAGGTTACAGACGTGAGAATTTTGGTAGTGTGTATATATATGTATACACACACACATACACACACATGCTTAACTTTTTAAGTAAGCCTTGCCTTGCTGGTTAATGGCAAAGAGTAATTTTGATATGGAATATGCCTTGCCTCTGCTGAAGCTAAGGAGAGTTGGATCCAGTTAGTACTTGGGATGGAGACTGTCCAAGAATCCTAGAACTATAGGACAGAGTAGAAAGTTGAAAAATCATCCTGGAAAACAGCAAAGACAAACCACTTCTGGAACACTGCCAAGCAAATTGCATGGATAGAGTCATCGGGAGTTGAACTCAACTTGGGAGTGTTTTCACTTCATTTCACTCTTCTAAAGCAATTGGAAATCCTGCTTTATGTTCAGGGCTCTGTGCTTCTCATCCAGCAGGTCTGGCATTGGACACTGCTGCTCTCAGCACTTATTCACAATTTAGGCTTATATTCTCCTCATATCCTGACTTCCTGAATTTTTAAAAAATGAGGTTAGATCTGCAGCTACCATTTAAGGAGAATCTTCTCTACATTTTTCTATTCATCTACCCAACATGCACTTTCACTGAACTCTGAAATGACTTCATGCAGAGTATTAGCCTGTAGCAAGTAAAGGAGGTCATCTTAACAGAAATATGCAAGGACTGTTACCTAGGCAAAGAGGGCTGAAATATTCTTTAAGTCCTGGAAAATAAGATAATATTTGGAAGCAGTTCAGACAAACATCTCCCTGATTCACTGGTGTAGGCCACATGTGTACACACACACACACAAAGGAGTTCAGTTGCAAAAAGATTTACTTGGATTTGTGCAGTTACAAGCAGTGGTAGGCAGGGCGTGTGCGGAATCACATATAGTTTTGAGCAGTACTCACAAAGTACTCAAAGGAACAGAGGTTTCATAGGGAAGAGTTTAGGCGCAAATGGACAGAGTTTCCAATAAGCGGAGCAGTTGTTCCTAGTGAAGGATGGCCTGCTACTGGTGGCTCTAAAATACAGCCCCCACCAGTTGCAAGCAATCACTGGTGGGAATGCCCTTGCCTTATGAGGAGTTGCATAGACCTCCTCTATTCTGCCCTTTGCTCAGACTTACATGCCTTAAGGCTGGGAGGAGGCCCCAGGTAAGGCCTCTCACCCTCTGCTACTTCCAGCTGCCCAAAATGTTCTGCAGCCTCAAGCGTCTCCCTGCTGCTCTCCAAGGCAGGCTGCTGTTCCACAGGATTATCTGAAGCACCTACTACTACTACTACTACTACTTAGAGTTGGAGCTGGCCCTGACAACTGGGGTATAGGTAGGAGGGGAGGTACAGTACAATTAGACTTTCAAGATTGATGTCATCCCCACTAGTCTGATTGTACTGTGTGACCTGATGACACTTCTGGCCACTGATTTGGACTTTGGTTACTGGAAACGCCTTACAGGCAAGTTTCCAAAGGATTTGGGACTGCCAGGAAGACGAGAACTGCACTTTATTGAAATGGGCTATAATAACTGAAACTTGCAAGTCTGACTGTGTCCTTATTAACTTTAAGTATTGCAATGCAAGCTCTGAAAGAGGAAGAAGATAAATTCCAGAGCTGTCCAGACTACAACCAAATAGCAGTTTAAAAGAAACATTCAAAAACAAATGCAATACTCCAGACAGACTACAAGAGGGTGATGATCGGCTAAAAACACCTCAACCTTTGCCCCAGCAGCTCATAAAAAAGGGATAATTTGAATGCTTCAGATTAATATTATTGATTACTGGAAAACTCTAAAGAGAATTTGATATCTTCATACATAGCCCGATGGATGGATAAAACACTTAGGTTACATGTTCCATTTCATAATTTGTACAGCGAAATAAAAAGATTAAACTGATCAAAACACAGAAAGAAATAGCCAAGAAGCTGATGCACGCTCATAGCCAGACTGAAATAGTAGCACGTGAAGCCCTTAGTCCTCTGCTCCAGTTCTCCTGGCATGAGCAATTGGTCTGCAGACTACCTCATAATAGAGCCCATTGATGATGATGATGATGATGATGATGATGATGATGATAATTTATTAAATTTATATGCCACCCGACTTTGGGCAGTTTACAAATTGTAAAAACAAATAACAATACAAGAAACACGCACACACACAAAAACACACAACAAAACACACAAAACAAAACACACAAAACAGAACATTTTGGCACTAGTCCTCCCAGTAAAGAGACCCCCATTACAAGCTGGTTTCATACTGATAAATAATAAAGGAAAACAACCTTATTTTATAGTGAGGTTTGCACGTAGCTCACTCATTGTACATAATACACCCCATGGTGCATTGTACCTGTACACAAAACAAACAAAGAGATCTATACTACACAAAGGTGAGCCAGAACAGTGAAGTATCATAATTACATTAATAAATTAGAAACTTACAGACATGTAAAAAAAGAGAAGAATAAACCAACACTTGATATTTTTTTTTAAAGGCTAGTCTTATCTTTGTGGGCAAAATTGGTGAGGGTGGAGGAAGAGAAGGGAGGCAACCCAAATTTAAGTTCTAACTAAACATTGGAATGGAAAAAGATGGACTTTAGAACAAGGATTGGGAAACTAAGAATATCTATCTATCTATCTATCTATCTATCTATCTATCTATCTATCTATCTATCTATCTAATTTGTCACAATATGTATGTATGCATGTATGTATTTGCATTATTAACCACCCCTATCCTGAAAAACAGCAGCTGTTTAGAAAGGAAAAGAATCGGAAAAGATCAGAAGCTACAAACAGTTCCTTTCTTTTATTGACTCCAAATGTCTCATTCCTTTTGCCCAGCTGAGACAGGACTATGAAGGAAGAGAGAATAACATGCAGCAAATTCTTATAGGAGACTCAGTGGGCCTCCCCAAAAGGATTTGTTTAGAGAGCTCTTGGTTAGAAAATAAACCTGTGAGTTATTCTTTCTGCTCCTCCCATTTGAGATATTTATTTATATATTACAATGACTTCAATGCTGC